ATTTAAGGGATAGAATATCAGTGTGAAAATGAAGAGAATTATAGTCTTGTCCTATCTCCATTACTGATAACTTCGGTGACTTTGGGGGAATCATTTTAATTCCAAGGGCCTCAGTTATTAGATGTAGAAAATGACTTCCAAATGTCTCATGACAGTGGAAATGATTCTGGAAAGATGGCAGAGTAAGGCAGGAAACACCAGGCTCTCCAAATTTCTTCCACAAACATGATAAAAAATATTGCCTCAAAGGGAATTTTGAGCAACAGAAATAATTAAAAGTTGAGGTAAAGCAGTTGTGCTCTCAAGACAACTTGGGAGGACCTTAGGAAAACCTAGCCTCCAGGGATAGAGGTCTAGCTCAATTGAAGTGCAAACACCTCTGGGCAGACTCTGTAGAATCAACAAATAATAAGCCCTGGGGGCAATAGGAAGCCTCCACTACAGAAACTTTCACTTCAGGGACAGAGTGGGGGTCAAATAGCTGAGCAGTGGAAAACTGAAGGACCCTCCATGGTTGTTGTATTGCAAGCACAGGTGTGTTGACCAGACACAGCCCCAAGCTGTGGCTGTGAGTAAGGAGGAGTGAGCACTCACAGTGAGTGAAGCAGCAGAGGGTCAGGGGCCCTGCTAGCTGTGGGCACTTGCAGGAGAGACAAATCCCTGGTTTTGGTTTGGTTCCAGGGCAGAGGGGTAAACTGAAGTTTGCAGCTAGGAAGAGGGACTGCAGGGAGCAAGAATATTTGCAGTGATCTTCTGACCATGGGCCCTAGCTATGGTTCAGGAGTGCAGAGGAATGCCAGAAGTTGAACTCCCAGACAGAGCTTAGAACACAATGCTACATGAAACCTGAAGCCTGAGGCATTATCCCCCACACCTGGGGACTAGAACCTGACAATAATAATAAGCCACTAAGAAAAACAATAATGAGTAACAAAGGAGAAAGAACCCAACCATAGATAACTACTATGTGGACAGAGAAGATTTGGTTCATATTCAGAAAAATATAGTGAAACTAAAACAAACAAACAAAAAACCATTCCTATTTCAAAGAAAAATGTCAAATGGTCACAAACCCTCCAAAAGAGTTCTTGAAAGAGTTTTAAAAAAACTAAAAATCAAATGAGAGAGATTGAGTGAAAATTCGGGAGGAAATAAGAGTAATCCAAGAAAATCAAGAAAATTGTGAAAAAATTCAACCAATTGGAAAAAAGAGATCCAAATTTTTAAGGAGAAAAAAAAGTCCTTAAAAAAACAGAATTAGGCAAGGGGAACCCAATGATAACAAAATAAAATAAAAAGAATGAAAAAATATAAAAGTGTGAAATATCTCATTAGAAAAACAACTGATCTGGAGAACAGATTGAGGAGAGCAATAGAAGAATCATTGGACTACTTGAAAGTCATAATTTTCAAAAAAGGGTCTAGATATGATAGTATAAGAATTATTAAGGAAAATTGCCCTAAGTAATAGAATGAGAAGGGTAAAATTGAAATAGAAAAAAAAATCTATCAATTACCACCTCAAAGAGTTTCTAAGATGAAAACTTTCAGGAATATTATGGTCAAGTTTCAAAGTTCCCAGGTTAAGAAGAAAATACTATAAGCAACAGGAAAAAAAATTAAATACTGTACAGCTACACTCAGGATAACAAAAGAGGAAATAACATATATATCTAGAAGGGTATAAAAGTCTTCTAAATTTGTAAAGAAATAGGAGGGTAAGTAGGAGAGTGAAAGGAGAGAATAAAGGAGGAACACAGAGGAGTGGGTAAATTAAGGAACAGGAGGGCAAGGGGTGAGGATAAGGGAGGGATACTTTAAAAGGGTGAGGATTAGGGAGGTAGTGGCTAGAAGTAAATTAGATGTGTGAGGAGGGAATAGAGTAAAAACAGAGGGTGAGAAAGACAAATATTGAGGAAAATAGGATGGAGAGAAATACACAACTTATAATTATAACTTTGAATGTGAATGAGATGAACTTACCTTTAAAACAGAAATGGATAATAGAATGGATTAAAAATCAGAACCTGACAATATGGTGTTTACAAAAAGTATTTAAACATAAGGGATATGCACAGAGTTAAAATAAAGGGCTGAAGTAGAATTTATTATGCATCAGATGATGTTTAAAAAAAGCAGAGGTAGCAATCATGATCTCAGAAAAGTTAAAGCTAAAATGGATTTAATTAAAGGAGATAAACAGGGAAACTACATTATGATAAAAGGTATCATAGACAATGAAACAATATCTTTAGTAAACATATATGTACCAAATGCTTTAGCATCTAAATTTTTAAAGGAAAAGTTAAATGAGTTACAAGTGGAAATAGATAAGGAAATAGTAAAACTATGATAATGGGAGACTTTAACCTTTCCCTCTCAGAACTAGACAAATCTAACAAAAAACTAAGTAAGAAAGAAGTCAAGAAGGTGAATACGATCTTAAATAAGCTAGATATGATAGATATCAGAGAGAATTGAATGAGAATAGAAAGGAATATACCTTTTTCTCAGTGGCACATGGTACCTTTCCAAAAACTGACCACATATTAAGGCATAAAACTTTATAACTAAATTCAGAAAAAGAAATATTAAATGCATCCTTTTCAGATCACAATGCAATAAAAATTAAATTCAATAAGCACAGAAACACAAATTAAAAGCCAGTTGGAGACTAAACAAGCTAATCTTAACGAATGAGTGGGTTAAAGAACAAATCATAGAAACAAACAATAATTTCGTTAAAGAGAATATAAGTAAGGAGACAACGTATCAAAACCTATGGGATATAGCAAAAGCAGTAACCAGAGGAAATTTTATATCTCTCAATGCTTGTATGAATAAAATAGAGAGAGATTAGACCAATGAATTGGAAATACAACTTAAAAAAAAACTAGAAAAAGAATAAGTTAAAAATCCCCAATTAAATAAATACCAAATTGGAAATTCTAAAACTTGAAGGTCAGATTAATAAAATTAAGCATAAGAAAACCATTGAATTAATAAATAAGATTAGGGGTTGTTTTTATGGAAAAAAACAGTAAAATCAATTAACCATTTATTAATATGATTTAAAAAAAGAGAAGAAAACCAAATCACTATTATTAAAAATGAAAAGGGTGAACATACCACTAATGAATATTAAATCAAAGCAATTACATGGAGTCATTTTGCTCATATGCCAATAAATTTAATAATTTAAATGAAATGGAAAAATATTTACAAAAATATAAATTGTAAAGATTAACAGGAGAAGAAATAGAATATCTAAATAAACCTATTTTAGAAAAAGAAATAGAATAGGTCATAAATGAGCTTCTTAAGGAAAAAAAAGCATCAAGACTAGATGAATTTACAAGTGAATTCTACCAAACATTAAAAGATCAACTAATTCCAATATTAAATAATTATTTGGAATAATAGGCAAAGAATGAGCCCTACCAAACTCCTTTTATGAAGCAAATATAGTACTAATATCAAAAACAGAAAGAGCAAAAACAGATGAAGAAAATTATAAACCAATTTCATTAATGAATATGAACGCAAAAACCTTAAATAAAATAGCAGGTAGGAGACTTCAACAATATATTACAAAGATTATACTTCTGATCAAGTGGAATTTATACGAGAAATGCAGGGATGGGAACATAATGAAAACTATTAACATAATCATTTATACCAATAACAAAATATTTCTAGCAGCTTTTTTGTGGTAACAAAAAATTGGAAACTGAGGGGATGTCCATCAATGGGGAATGCCTGAACAAGTTATGATCTGTGATTGTCATGGAATACTATTGTGCTAATAAGAAATGATGAGCAGGATGCTTTCAGAAAAAACTTGGGAAGACCCATACAAATTCATGCAAAGTGAAATGAGCAGAACCAGGAGAATTTTTCATAATGCCTCAAGTAACTTACAGCCTAATAAGTTAAGGGTGTGTGCACCGTGGATGTGTATAGCACAGTTAAGTATGATAAAAGGTGAAAGTGAAAGGACAAAAGAGAGATCCAAAGGGCTATTAGGAAAATTTGAGAAGGAAAAGAATACTTTTGACATCAATTAGGCTCTTATATAAATAGTAGGAGTAATTGAAATAGAAGGACTCTAATCTTTATGCACTGAGACTTCAAGGAAGCAATAGCAGAAGTAACAGTAGCAGAAGCAGCAGCATAGCATCACTGCATACTGCATGTAAACTAAATCTATGAAGTTACCATAAGCATTCGGGACTTTTTATTAACCTACAACTATTTACCCTGACCCTTTCATATGTAAGCAAATATTCTTCTTTCATTTTTTGGTTCTATGTCTATTTTTATCTCCAAAGCAAGCTAAAAGCCAGTCTGATGATCAGCAATCAAAACTGTGCCCCAGTTTTGGAGGAAATGGTGACTGTCACCCAGCATGCACTGCGCAGGCACTTCTCACCACACACCCCCTGCGTCCATATTCCATATGTCAGTCATTAGCAGTTATGTTAAGAGGGGCAGCCAGCAAAAGGGAGAGACGAGAGGAGCAGAAATAAAGGTAGGGGAGGAGGAAGAAAAGGGAAGGAGGGGGAGACACAACATGCGTGGGGGCAAGGAATTTGGAAAGAGAAAGAAAGAGACCATCGGGTGCTTGTGCGTGACTCTCTTTCATATGGAATTAATGGTGGTTTAATGGGGTATGAAAAGATGTTTTACTGGAAACAATGAGGAACAATTGTCTAGCTCACGTTTCATTTCACAGGTCATTATTGCATTAAGAAGTAAATCGACCAAGTCCGGTAAATAACAGTCTGTGTATTGCCGAGAGCTTCAAACCAACAATCTTACCCGTCACCAACTAATATCTCTGTCATTTTAACCCTTGCAGGGTTGTGCTGGGGGGCTAAACAGTTACAGTCTGCACCCAGTCCTAGCAGGTGAGAACAATTCATTACTCCTTTTGTCCCTCCTTTTGCAAAATCCACAAGCCCATATTTTAACATTGTTGTTTTGTTGATGAGCCAGCCTTAGCCAACTGCCGGCCGGCTCCGGTGGCCTTGAAAAACAACCCCCATTTTAGTGAGTGCTGCAGGCATCTTTAAGCAGACTGCTTTCTCTGCAAAATTAATTGCTGCAAAGCACAGTGTTCCCTCCTTGAAGCTTTTTGCAAGCTAACACTCAGCAATTTGGGTGGGCCACAGATATGCCTGATAAAATCAAGGGAAATGAGCTCCATTGTGCTTTATAATAAAGTTCACCTTTGTCTCACTAAGCATTGTTACTAGGCACCAGAGTCCCAGGAGTATGTACTGCCTGGGATGCCTTAATGTTTGTCTCATTAACTCTTTGGAAATTAAGAGTGAGTCCTTAGAACAGGTTGTGTTTAAAGTTTATGCTTAGACAAATTGCAACTTTGACACTTTGATGGATCTATGATCTCATCGGTGATGGCACTCCTTTTACATTCAGACTAACATTCAGTGACTTCCCACCCAGCGTAATTCTTGCCTTTCCAAAAACCCTCCATTGAGTATTCACCCCATTCTTCTGGTTCTTTGAACATTCTTCATGTAGGATCTCCATGTAGCTATTGCTCGGACTGTTCGTTTGTTCTCTTTCATTCCCACATGATCAGCCCTCTTCTTCCAGTCATATATGTATTCATTAATATCTTTTTTGCCACTTGGTCAAATTAATATCCACAGGATAATCAAATACTGGAAATCAAGCAGTGAAAAATGCCTTTCTACTCCTCATGACAAGAGGGACATTTATTGAAGATTTGATTGAAGCATAAAGGTGGGAAGTCATGACCAAAGACATTCAAAGTTATCAACATTACCACTACTGACCCCAAGAATCCTACACAGATTTAAAAAAATATGTATGGCCCCCTTGAAGCATGCTCAATTAGCATTCCAATCAAGTGCATGAACACTTGGGATGGTCTTGCTTCTGGGCATGTGTGATAGAGGAATCCTCCACTCCACTTCAAAGCATGTTCAGATATCTAAATATTTACTTTAGGGCATGATGACTCAGGATACTGTGCAGTGGTAAATTCTTTTAATTGTCTGCTGAATCAGAACTCCATGTATATACTCAAGTGTTGATTCCTGCTCCTCAGGTTCCCTCTTCTTGCTGACTTTGAAGCCCATCGATGACCCTCTGACGTATTGGGGAATCTGGTTGGAGATGCACATCTTCCCTACCTATCCCTATCTGTGAGCTTGCCTCCTAGGTAAGCCTGTTCCTAGGACAGGCCACTTTCTTTCTGGGTCGTCTTTTCTTTGGTATAAGTTGCCCAATAATTCTTGATCTGAATTGGTAGGGGAAGTTTCCTCATTGGGAGTTCCCAGCACCAATAAAATCAAAGATCTAGCTAAAAAAAAAAGAATAAATATATCTCTTATTATAAGTTACTTGAAGAAAAAGATTATGTCATTTTTTTCATCTGTGTATCCCTAGCATCTAGATCATGCATGACATGTGGTGGGCACTTACTACTTATTGACTTGAATTGGAAGGAAACTAACTACTCCAACACCTCCCTGCCTTCCATTGCCAATTTCCAGGTTCTGAATATGCTACTTTAAAAATCAACAGAACAATACAGCAAATCTCACCTTTGCTGTATATCAGATCAAAGAAAGGGGAGGGAAGCAGAATCCCTATTTTTATGCTCTATTCACTAATATCACTGAGACCAGCTCTGGTGGCTACTCAGCAAGTTTGGCTGCTTCCAGAAGTCCTTTAACAACTTAAGGCTTCTTATTCCGTGATATGGGTTGTTCATATCATTCAACTGAATAGGACTCTGACATCTTCTACAATTAATGAAGTGAAGCCATGTTGTTATTCAATCTTTGCAGGGTAACACATGAAAATGGCATGGAAAGGTCACAGATATGCATCACTCTAGAAATATAATATCACCAGAATACAATCCATCATGATCTTATTATGATTCTGTTAGTCTGATCAGGTCTCATGGATAAAGGATATTAGAATCCTGAAAATAATTTTCTCTAACTAGCTCTGTATCATATCATAGGACATCTTGTACTACAAAGAGTCAGGGAAGGTGAACTTCAGGGGATATAACATCTGCCTTCAATCATGGGAATCCATAGCAAAAACACATTCCACATGGTTCATTCATGGCATGCCATAACTCAATCCAGCTATCTGAACATCATCACTTCAACCTCAGAATGGCCCTATGGGGCAGTGAGCAGCAGGTGCTGGGTTAACAGCAAAGTTTTAGGGTGGGATGTCTATTGGTAACTTTGGGGCTAAAGAATCAGATGGTTATCAAATAATAAGTGCTATTATTGAGCTCCAGCTGCTGAAGAAGCATGTCATCTAGGGATGTACTAATTATCCATGAATTACCTAGAGAACCAAATTTTAAGGGCAATCTGTACTTTGGGAAGCTGGATCAGAAGGCAAGTGAACTCTCATGCTTCAGACCAAACAGAGACTATTAAGCAGCAGCTCTGTCTAACAAAGGACAATTTACATATTACAGATTTTGCATTTCTACTTTCCTAATACCTTCCAACAACACTTGCTGATGCAAATGAAGGTTAAACTTCAGAATATGATCACCAACAGCGAATTTCCCAGGAGTCACCTTCTAATGGAAAAAAAAAATGACAATCTTTCTAACATCCATTATCTTCCAGGGATGCTCTATGGTTCCATATCATGGAATGCCCTATCAAGCATTAAATTTTCAGAATACCCACAAGGCAAGGGAATAATGCACAGTAAATATGAGTAAGTTGCAGAATATTATCAAAGAATAACTGCACTAGGATAGTGCTAGAAAGGATATCCTCAAAAAGATGTATGACTGGAAAAGGAGATAAGTGGGTCTGGATCAAGATCGTGAGATAATCAATAGACAGCCTTGTACGTTTCAATGATATCTATAAAATGTCAAGGGATCTAGTTCTAGAGGAAACCCCCAAGCACAAGGGGTAGAAGTTTTATTGAAGAATGTGGACAAAAGTAGCACAGAATGAGCAGGTACAAATGGATTGTGATCTGAACAATTGGAGAGAGTACCCTTATTGATGAGATTACAGAGCCATTAAGGTATCAAAGTAACTTTGCACATACTAAGTGATCAACCAAGATTTGTTTAATTGAATTGAATTGAAATGAAGTAATAAAATCAGAGAGAGCAGAAGATAGACTTTGAAGATTCATTAGATTAGAGTATTGCCTTGAGTGACATGCCATAGGTGCTTACTGAAAAAAAAATCCAAAAACTTGCCTCTAATATTTTTTAAGGCATAAAAGAACCTTTCTTTTTGGAACAAAATTTTCAGATTAGCACTTGCAAATAGAAATAGGATGAGGGGAAGGAAGAGGGGAAAGAAAAGGAAAACATAAAGAGGAAATCAAAGTGCCAAGAATGAACTTGAAGCATGTGGGAAATATAATAGACTGAGTTTTACAAGAACAGAGGGTTTGCATTTGTGAGAGCTATCTAGGAAAAGGGGAGTCAGATTAGAATAATATGTATACATTTGACACAGTTGACAACAGGTAACCCTTGTATGTTCTTGTGGAGGAAGCTGGAATTATCAGAGTGCCATTTTTGGAAGATTTGTCTGCTGGCAGAATTCAGATAAATTGAAGGAGAGGCAGAGAGATTGAACAACAATCCTATTGAAACAGTTCAGCATTGAGGTGATGACAGTTACAATAAAGGTTGGATCAACATGATTTGTTGATTGAATAAATTTGCAAGAGCAAAGAGAGGAAGGAACCAAAGATGGCAAAATTTTTGAGTCTGAAAGTCTAGGAGAGTGGTGATTCTATTGACAAAAACTGAGGAGTGAAAAGAAAAATAAGTCAGTTTTTTATTAGGGGCAAATAAGTTTGGATTTAGGCATGCTGATTCTGAGGTAATGGCAGAACTCACTGATAATGTCTTCTCAGCAGTTAGAGTTCAACTGAGAAATCAGAGTTACTGCTGTGGATTTGTTTGTCATCAACATTGAAATAAGAATGAATGAGCTCTGTTAAGAAAAGGAAACATGGGGAGAAATGAGTCAGGAGACACAGAGTGAATAGTAGAGGACTGGCTGCAGTTATAAGATGGAAGGAAGAAGATACAACTGGAAGAGGACATTGATGAGAAGAAACACAGAATTTTAGAACTGAAAGAGACCTTGGAGATTAGTTTATCTATTTTTATCTATCATTTTATCTATACGGACACTGAGGCTCAAAGACCAGTTAATCAACAAGAATTTATTAAGCATTTAATATGTGCTAGGTACTAAGTATATAAAGAAAAAAGAAAAGCAGCCCTGCTCTCAAGGAGCTTATATTCAAATGAGGAATAACATGTAAATAAATAGATACACACCGGAAGTATACAGAGTAGACACAAGTTAACCTTAGAGGGAAAGATACTGGCAGCTGGGTGGGACAAAAGAACACTTCTCAAAAGATGTGATATTTGAGTTGTCCTCAAGGAAACCAAGAGTGATTCCAAGAGCAGGAGCTAAGGAAGAAAGTTAATAGCATAGTAGTAGTTAGTAGATTATTAGATAAATTAGAACAAAACCTAGGTCTTCTTTATACTGTCTCACTCTATATACAATCACAGAAGTCAAGTGAAGAAAAATTTTCGAGGAGACAATTATAAACAATGACACATATAAATCATCAGCATTACTGTGTTTTATTTTAAAAAATCAGGAAGATATAGAAAGGAGAAATTCCATTTTAAAATAACTACAGAATGTATAAAATACTTAGAAGTCTACCTACCAAAATATAGACATAAATTACACAAACAAAATAAATTTACAAAACGCCTTTTAAACATATAAAAACAGACCTAAATTACTAGAGAAATAGTAAGTACTCATGGGGAGGGCAAGGCCATACAAGAAAATGGCGATAATTCCTAAATAAATTTACTTATTCGGTGTTATACCAACCAAACCAATGGGTTACTTTAGAGAAATGAAGGGAAAATAATAATGAAATTCATGTAAAGGGGTAAACAGTCAAGAATATCAAGAAAAA